CATTTGAGACGCGTTTGATTCCTCATATGCAGCGCCACCCGTGTTCTGCTGCTCCCTGCATTGCAAAAAGGGGTCCAGGGGCATGGAGTGCTCGGCATGGTGCAACAAGGAGGTTGGATTTGAGACGCGTTTTACTCCTCATATGTGGTGTCACATTGCTCGCCCAAACGCTGGACTACTCATTTCTTGAGAAATGAGTAGTTGAGTCAACTACTTATTTAAATAAGTAGTTGGGCCAACGGGGAATTGAGTGAGGAGGGCGAGGAGTTGGGGCGGAGGCTGACCAGGATGAACACGAATTGGGAAAGAGGTGATGAGGAGGGCGACTGCGAAAATGGGAGGAGGAGGAGGAGGAGGGGGAGGAGGAACGGAGGAGGAACGGGAGCGAGAGGAACTACCCATGGGTAGGTGGGCCTTGCCTGCAGGGGCCCCCCTCCGCCGAAAAAGTCAGAGGTCAAACTATGGGGTCGAAAACTTTACCTCTGACTTCCGTGCTTTTCCCCACGACGCGAAGATCAAAGCGCCCCTGAGAACCCCCCACCCTCCGCGCGATGATGGTGATTACAGCGATGTGGGCGGCGATCAAGTGGGCAAAAACGGGCAGTCGCTCTCAATTCCTCGTTCCCCTAACACGTAATTGTTTTTTCATGCTTTGCGCAATCGAATAAACTTACGTTGTGGTCATCTTCTGAGATGGCTCAAAAGTCCCCCAAATCTACCGCGTTCGAAAGGTCGCGGGGCGGGGCGATAAATCTGGTTCGGTGGCTTCTATCGGGGCCCCATGTGGGGTACGTCGCCGGCGGGCGGGTCGCTGGGCGGGCCGCGAGCGGGGCGCGACGGATCGTAGGACGACGACGAGCAAAAATAACAACACTGACCCCAAATGGAACAAACCCTTATGACGTGGCCAACGAAGCCGCAATTCAGCCGCTCGCGGCGGTCGCGGGGCGTGTCGATAAGATAGCGCCTTGGATTTCTATCGAGGTCTCCTGCGAGGCGGGGCGCGGGCGGGCGGGGCGCTGGGCGGGTCGCGCGTGCATTGCGGCGGGGCGCGGGGCGAGGATCGCGAATACCAGTAACAACAACGACAAAATTAAACACCGCATCACTGAAGCCAGACGCGCACCCAGGGACAGTGTAAAGACGTTCGGCCTCGTCAACCAGATCTCTTATCTCTAGGTTTAAGGGTGGTGATGCACGCATGGGAGATGATCTCCAAAAAATAACAGCGGCGCTCCTAAATTTAACCGATCTCACTTAAATAACAAGATATAGGCAACAATAACGAGAGATTTCTCCTAAAAGCTGCTCTTAAATGCTTCGCACCACTTAGATCTAGACTATTCGGCTGCTTCCAGCCGCAGCGGATGGTCGGGGTTGCCAGTAATACCGTTCGGCCAATCACTCTGCTGGTTCGAATTTGGTTTGCGCGCAAGTGCATTGTTACGATGTCAAAGTGGCATGACTGGCAATACTGTCAAAAAACAATGCTTCAAGTGCAAGAAATGCACTGTCTCAGCGAGGGCTTTTCCGACGACATGGTTTCGTGCTTTTGCCGGCTAGATTTTCTGAACGCCGGGCTGAAAACTAGACTGCGGTCTAGAAAACTGAACTGCTAGGAGGTGGTTTTGCACTTGCCGGGCATCTGTGTCACCAAAAAGCCCGCTTTCGCTACCAATCCGGCTACTTCCAACACTTCCGGCGAAGAAACAAAACTTCCACCCGATAAACAACACTTGCAGACGCAATCGGATGATCTGGGTGCGTCGACCACGTCCGCGAGTCCCGAGGCGCCAGCATCCAGAGCTTTTCCCGGCCGCCCGCCCCCGCGAAGCGGAGCGACACCCTTGTCGGCTTGCAGCGCGCAGCGTGTAGCAGGGGCCGCCGTCGCGACACGCCGAGCAAAAGTTCCCTTCGGTAGCAAATCATGGGAGCCTGGCACACCCTTTCAATTCCGCCTCCAGCTTCGGTTAGCGTCGGCTAGCGTCTGGGAGTCGATCAGATATCGCCAAACTTGCGTCGGCTAGCGTCGACTAGCGTCGACTAGGGTCGATTCGCAAGAGCCAACAAGACGGCATGGGAGGCTCCCCTGAGTTTTCACTGAAGTTTCCGACCGTAGGCCTCCAGAGGATTCCGGAGACCTCTGCAGGCAGGCCCCCCTGCGCCACGAAAGCATCGCGGCGGCATACTTGTCCGAGTCCTTGGCCTCCGGAGGCCAGCCTCGGGGCGCAGAGGAGCCGCCGCCACGACACGCGAAGCACAAGCCCTCGACCGCAGGTTCCTCCGGTAGCGAATCATGGGAGCCTCGTGTCCCCTCGCAACTCCGCCTCTGGAGCGCACCGGCGCCGATCAGCGTCTGGCAGTCGATGAGATGGCGCCGAGGTTGCGTCGATGAGCGTCGATTGACGCCGATTCAAAAGCCAACGAGATAGCATGGGAGGCTCCTGTGAGTTGCCGCCGAAGGCTCCCGCCCCTCCGACCCGCAGCCACCCCGGGAGCAGCGAGGTCCCGCCTGGGCGCGCGTGCTCTCTCCGACTCCGCCGTGCCTCCCAGGCGCCCACGCAGGCGGCGACGGTGGCGCAGCTCGCAGCCACCCAGGGAGCAGCGAGGTCCCACCTGGGTGCGCGCCCTCCTCCTCCCTCCTCCTCCTCCTCCTCCTCCTCCTCCTCCTCCTCCTCCTCCTCCTCTTCCTCCTCCTCCGCCGCTCCGCCGCCGCGTCGGCTCCGACCTGCCGCCGCCGCGCAGGGGCGCGCAGGCGCCGCCCGCCAGCGCCCAGCGCCAGGGGCAGGCGGCGCGCGGCGCCGAGGCGCGCAGGCGCCACGGCGGGGCCCCGGCCAGGGCTCTGCCGCCCCGGGCCCGACACGTCTTCCGCAGCGAAGGGCCCACGCGACGCTCACACGCAGCGACGCAGAGGAGCGGGCTCGGCTGCGCCGACATCGGCGCGCGAGCTGCGCGCGTGAGCGCCCTCGCCTCCAGTGTGGCCTGCTGCCCTGGCGGCCCGCGTGAGCCGCCGCGTGAGGTCGCTATGCAATCTTGCGTAGGACCATTTGTTTTATTCCGTCGCTCGCCCGTCACTGCCCCCCTGAATGGTCACACTTGGGGGGGGGCTCTTGAGTTGCACCTCGGTCTTCCTAGGCGTGCAATCTTTTTGGATTTGGGGGACAGGGGGGATGTACGCGAATGGCTTCCCTCTGCCGGATCTCCGACACTATGATCTGTGGAATCCCTGCGTTTTTTGTCGACCTATCGGCTGCTAGGGGTCCGGGGCCATCAGACATTGATCCGGGACCAAGATCAAGCCCCAGGGAAGCGGTCGGGACCTTTGTTTCCGCGGCGAGGGATGGCAATCCGATCCCTTGAAGTGGGGTCAGGCTCGGGGGCCCATGCCAGGGCAAGGCCATGGCGCCAGATGTCTTGGCGCCAAGGATCGAGGTCCTTGGACGTCTTTGTCGAAGGAGGGCGAGACCACCGCCGCGAAGAAAGTCCGCGGCGGCCAGCTGTTCCAAGCTCTGGTCAGGGGCAGCGTTGGGGCGGGGGAGAGGGGCTCAAGGGGGGAGGGGGGGGCTCGACCCCCCATAGCCCGTGCATCCCCGATCGGAGCCCGAGAGCCGCCCCGCCCAGGAGCGCGCGTTTCGCCCTCGAGAGCCCGCCGGCGACGTGTCGCCGATGTCGCCACGAAGGGAGTCGAGGCGGCCAGCTGTTCCAAGCTTCGGGCCTCTGGGGGGGGGTGGGGCGGCTGCGGGGAGGGCAGGCCTGTCGTCCGGGGTGGGGTTGGAAAGGCTCGGGGGCCAACGCCACGAAAAGGCCGTGGCCGTGGGACCAGGGACCGAGGTCCCCGGACGTCTTTCGCCATTTTGAGGGAGGGGGGGGTGGGCGCTCCTTGCCTGGAGCGCCCTCGTCGTCACGGCTGGATCCACCTCAAGTTTTCGGCTGGGGAGCACCTCGAGACAGGTCTGGGGGCAGATGTCTTGGGGCACCGAGGCCCAGACCGACCTCCAGTCGCGACCAAAGCAAAGGGCGGCCACTTTTCGGGCCCCGGGAACCTCGACAGGAGCTGCCCGCTTCGAGCAGCAATTATCCTGGGGAGGGGGATGAGAACTCCACGGGCGTTTCATAGACGTGCGCGCGCGTTTCATGGATTCTGCGGCTGGCAGCATGCAGCCCAGCAGCACTTGAACGAGAGTCAGGCTGAAAGAAAGCACTTGCCATCGGCTCGAAAGGCCTCCAGTCTATCGGGCGCGGCGATGGTCTCCTTCACGCCCCCCCCCCCGTTGCCCTCCTCTCGGCCCCTCCTCCTCCCCCTCTCCTGATCCGGGGTCGCCGCCCTGTCCATTCTGACCACGCGCCCGAGGAGACGATTCCCCCTCGCTGAGAGGCACATTCAGCTCTAGCGCAGCGCCCGCGCCCAGAAAGACCCACGACCTCGGAGGTCTGGTCCAGCCCCCCCCTGCGTACGAGGTGTGCGCGCCGCGCGTCGACGCGGCGGCGACCCCAGTCCGGGCGCGTGAAGGCTAACTGCAGCCCGTGTCCCAGAGCTGGCCCATATTACCGAAGGGCCCGCGCTCTCGGAAGGCCACGATCGCGCGAGGATGAACGGTCCACGCGGTGTCAGAACGCAACGCACAAGTCGTCGCCAAGCGACGACGGCTGCGGCGGCGCTGCGGCGGCGACGGCGGTGGCGAGGCGCGGGGCTGGCACGCCTCGACCCTCTCTCTGCCTCGCGAGGGCGCGGCCGAGGCCCGAAGGTGGCGCGGAGCGCGGGAGCGACGGCCCCGACGCAGCCATGTGGGCTCGAGCTGCCGCAGCGGGCCCGGCAGCGGCTGCGGGCAGGGCCAGGTGCGCCATGCCGCCCTCCGGCCGCCCTGGGGGCACGACGCACGGCGGGGGCCGGGTGAGCGGCGCGAGGAGAAGCGGTTTCGGCCGCTTGGCCTCCAGCGGCCAGGGCCAGGGGGGCCCGCGCGACGCACGGCGGGCGCTGGGTGAGCGGCCGCACCGCCCGCATGGCCCCCGGCGGCCAGTGCGGCCCCAGGTGAGCGGCGCGAGGAGAAGCGGTTTCGACCGTGCCGACCTTGGCGCGTAGGCTGCCCGCGTGAGGTCGCGCGTGAGCGCCCTCGTTTTCACCGTGGCGTGCCGCGCTGGCGGCCCGCATGAGCCACAGCATGAGGTCGCTGTGCGATCTTGCGCGAGGCCCGTTTCTTTTCGTCGCTCAGGTGGTGCTGGCTCCTGTACAGCCTCGTGGTGGCGCTGCTCACGGTAAGGTGGATGGGGCCCGACCTGCTGTTCTCCGCACGCGATGAGCCTGCGCGGCCCGCGCTGCCCGCCCCTTCATCAGAGGCGCTCGCGGCGCCCGCGGCGGCCGGGCCCTCCGCAGAGGCGCCCGCGGCGGCCGGGGCGGCCCCTCCGAGCGGCCCGCGGCTGGGCGACGGCGTGGGACGGTGTACCCAGGGCGCCGCCAACGCCGCCTGCCCCGGGTCCATCGAGCCACCCATGCGGGCCGGGACCTGGAGCTTCGGGAACTACATGCAGGCCTGGCGCAACGACCTGGGCGACAGGGTCCTGCAGATCCAGGGGGAGGCGACGGAACAGCAGTGCTCCGGCTTCTTCGTCTGGGGCGACTACGCGTGGTGCAACAGGGCCGTGGAGCCCACCGCGGCCGCCCGCCGTCCCAGCGGGGGAGTCGTGGGCATCAGCTTCGGCATCAGGGACCGTGACCCCTGGTCGGAGCTGATGAGCAACCGCTACGGCGTGCGCACCGAGCTGTACGACTGCTTCTACGGGGTCGCGCCGTGCCCCGTGCCGCAGAAGAACGCGCCGTGCGGCGGCGTCATGGGCTACGGCATGACCGGGGGCGAGCTCCGCGCCGGGGCCCTCGGCCTGGAGCGCTGCCCCCTCAGGGACACCAAGAGCGGCCCGAAGCAGGGCTGCTTCGACGCCCCCTACCGGATCCACAGGGTCTGCGTGAGCAACACCTCCTGCGTCGACAAGAAGACCGGCCACGCGTGGCCATACACGACCCTGCGCGCCGTGCTCCACGGCTTCGAGCCGCTGTCCGTCCACCTGAAGATCGACGTCGAGGGGTCCGAGTGGAACCAGTTGGATGCGCTCCTTGGCAGCCCCGAGGACCTCGCGAAGATACGCACCCTGGACATGGAGATTCACTACGGCCTCGAGGACTGGAACTCGCCGGGGCGGTGCCACGAGGAGGAGTACATCGCGTGGAAGGTCGGCCTCATCGAGCGGCTGGCGAAGTATTTCGTGGTGAGCGGGACCACGCTGCAGGCGGTCATTGAGAAGCAGTCCAGGCTTGCCAGACGGGGCACGGAGCAACTGGCGGGTGAGTTAAACCCGAACGGAAGGCACTGCATGACCACTTCGACGGGCTGGGACCTGGGCATGTATTGCCTCAGCTTTGTCAGCCGTGAGCTGCTCGCGGCGCCCTGATTCGGCTTTGTTTTAGGCGGCATCTCCGAGGCGAAGGTCATTATCGACAACCGGGCTGCGGGCTGCGGGCTGCGTGCTGCGTTGACCGTGGCCTTCCCCCCCTTCCTTCCCTTATTCGCCTCATCGTCGCCCCCCCCCCCACACCCCGCCCTCTCCTTCTTTTCTCCTTCCTCCTCATCATCTTTCTGTTTTCTTTACGCTGAGCTCCTCATCCCTCTCTTCACCATCCTCCCCCCCTTCCTCCTCTCCTTCGTCCTCCACTCTTCCTCCCCCCTCAATCCTCCCCTTGCCTTCTACTTATCCCTCCTCTTTCCTCCTTCTCCTTCTCAGCGACGCTGGATCATACTCCTCATCTCCGTGTTCTGCCTTCCCCTCCCCTTCGCTTCTGGAAGAACATATCGTAGCACCACCATGCGTGTGGGTAGGGCGGGCTGGTCGTTTCGCCTGAGACCCCCTCACTTTGTATGATTATCAGGCTCGAAATGCCCAACAGTCAATGTGGATAGAGGGCGGGTCGTTTTCAGAATGTGGATCTCGCCTTAGCGACGCGCGCATTCGCCGTACAAGCGTCCGACAGCTAAATGTATGGAGGGCGGGTCGCATTCGAAAATACAGCTCTCTCCTTTGCTCCACGCAAGTTCTCAGAACACGCTTCCAATAGTTTCGCAGATGGAGGGCGGGTCGTTTGCGGAATGCGGCTCCCTTTCATCGCCATTCACATTCGTCGCTGAAGCTTTCACAGGGTACACGGATGGAGGGCGGCTCCTTTTCAACATCGGGTTCTCTTGAGACGCGATCGGTTACGATAGCTAGAGGGTGCAACATTGGTACAGCCGCCCCACGGATGAAAGCTGACCCCCTTTCAAAGGGGGGCTCTCGCTTGAGACTTGTTCTCCATGTCTGGCCCGAGGCGTGACACCTACATTGTTCACGAGGGTAGGAGGAGGCTGAGGAGGAGGAGGAGGAGGAGGAGGAGGAGGAAAAGGGGGAGGAGGAGGAGGAGGAAAAGGGGGAGGAGGAGGAGGAGGAGTAGGAGGAGGAGGAGGAGGAGAAGGAGGAGGAGGAGGAAAAGGGGGATGATGATGATGATGATGATGATGATGATGATGATGATGATGATGATGATGATGATGTGATGATGATGATGATGAGGAGGAGGAGGAGGAGGAGGAGGAGGAGGAGGAGGAGGAGGAGGAGGAGAAAAAGGGGGAGGAGGAGGAGGAGGAGGAGGAGGAAAAGGGCGAGGAGGAGGAGGAGGAGGAGGAGGAGTTTGTGCTGGGAGGGCGGTTCCTTCTCAGAGCGGGGCCCTCGCTGGACGCTTCAGTGAACTGTGCGACCCTGCCTCTCGGCACTCCCAGCCAGAAGGATCGAGGGCGGTTCCTCGTCACAGCGGTAGACCCACGGGGGGGCGTCTTCCAAGGGGGCGCTCCCCGCAGTTGGGCAGGGAGCTTGGAACGGGCGGGTGTCTCGCAGCATCGTTGGGACATCCTGGGTTTGCTCTGGCTCTTCTCCTCCCAAGTTTTTCCCTCCCGCATGATTCCTTTCTCGTGCCTCCCATTCCTCCTCCTCCTCATTCCCCTCCTCCTCCTCCTCATTCTCCTCCTCTTCCTCCTCCTCCTCCTCCTCCTCCTCCTCCTCCTCACCTCACCCCCATCCTCATTCTCTCTCTTTGCGTGATCCTGCTTATCCGCCTCGTCCTGGCTCCATATGGCTTGAGCCAAAAATGGCTTTCAGATTTGATCACCCATGATCACCCCTGGCTGCATCGCCCCCTCGGGCACGCGGTTCAAGCTGAGCGGTCGCACTCGAAGCAGGACATGGTGTTTGGACAAAGCCAGTGGGGGTTCTGGGGGAACTCTTCGGCAATCCCACTGCTTTGCGCCATAGCTGTCCTGTCCTCGAGTGGCACAGCAGGTCGGTACACCAGGGCCAAGGCGCCCCGGAAGCACATCGCTTCGAGCTCCTCTTCCTGGCGCCAATGGGGGGGGAGACCGCCCAACGTGCACACGTCGTCAGCAGGGCCTCGCGAGGGGGGACGGACCGCGGGCCCTCCTCCGCAGGGCCTCCGGGGAGGAAGGTGCAGGTCCAGCGGGACAAGGCGTGCGCGCCCGGACTGCGGTGGGGAAGGGGAGCTGCGGGGGGCTTCCTCAGAGCAGGCGAGGAGTGAGCAGGACCACAGGCGCGCAGACAAGCACAACACCCTGCAAAGGGGGGGGGGGGGCGCAGAGGAGGACGAGAAGGAGGAGGAGAGGCTGTAGCCCTCCCCTTCTCCCTCTGCTTCCCCCGCCCTCTTCTGACAGGTTTCGTATCGCCCCAGATCCCGACCCCAAGACATCCCCAGAAGTCATTGGATGTCCCCGAAGGCCCCTGGAGTCTTCTGGAGGCCTCAGCAGCTGGCGTTTGTCAATTTGAGGCGATGTATGGGGGGGGGGGGGGGGTCGAAGGCTGCATGGAAGGGGCCATACACCGACGCTGCGAAAGTCCATTCCGTTTTGCCAAGCACGGCTCCGCGCGGATACAGCGCAGTCGCATGACTGCAACGCCGCTGCACGAAGGAAGTCGTGCAAGAGCTTCGCCGACCTGGGCAGAAACCGCGCTCGGGCGCGAACGCTTGCGGACCCGCGTCGTCAGCTCTGTGATCTGCGCAGGGTGCCGCGTGGTTATGCATGGGCGTCGCGCTCGGACGCGGTGCTCTCGACGGCAGTCCTCCTCCTCATGCATAAGCAGCCCACTCTAGCCGCGCGTGGCGGCGCTCTTCGTGCGTTGGGCCTCCTCGCAAACTTCGTGAAGGTCGAAGGCGCAATTCTTGGCCACGCGCTTTGCGCGTGCGGATTAGACGACGCTGCGGGCCCGCGCCTTCGGCGCTGTGATCTGCGCAGGGTGCCGCGTGGCCGTGCACGGGCGTCGCGTTCGGCTGCCCATCGGCGCCCCAAAAGTTCATTCCGTTTTTGCGGAGCATGGTTCCGCGCGGATGCATCGCAGCAGCACGACTGCAGTGCCGCTGCACTAAGGAAGTCGTGCAAGAGCCTCGCGGACCCGAGCAGAGACCGCGCTCGGGCGCGAACCCCGACAAGTCTGGCGCGCGCCCCAGACAACCAGGGGCAGACAAAGAGAACCGTCGGACAAAAGTTCGTTGCAGAAATACCCCGGCGTGAAACCGATTTTCGGGTCCGTCGGACAGGGCCCGAACACGTTTTTCGCACAGGCCCCCATGCAAGTGGGCCACTTTTGAATTGGCCAGCAAAGCCTTCGGGTCGTCTTGGGAGCAAGCCCGATAGGTTTTCCGGAAAAGTCCTTTGCGGTTTGTTCATTTTCGGGTCTCTACACGGTTCGGGATTGCAGAATTTTAGATTGGGAACAGAAGCCCGATTCCAGCCCAGAGGGCGGAGGTTTGGGTTCTCATTGTACCGGGCTTCTGCGGCCAATCGGAGCGGGGCGCCGATCTTGCCCCCGCCTCCGCCGCCCCTCTGCCCTCGCTCTCCGAGCGGCCCCCGCCGGCCATCCTCGATCTCGCGCCTGCTCAGATGGCGACGAGATGCACCTGGGAAGATTTGTGCGATCTTTCGGATCGGCGTAGAGGTACTTTCGATGACAGCCCTCCTCAGAGAAAACAGCCCGCTGTAGCCGCGCGTGGCGTCGCCCTTCTTTCGCCGGACCACCTCGCGAACTCTGCGAAGGGCAAAGGCGTAGCCCTTTGCCGCGCTTTGCGCGCGCGGATGCCACGACGCTGCGGACCCGCGCCTTCGGCGCTGCGATCTGCGCGGGGCGCTGCTCGGCCACGCATGCGCGTCGCGCTCGGAATCGGCGCTCTCGACGGCAGTCGTCTTCTGAGAAAAATGCCCACTCTGGCCGCGCGGCGCGGCGCCCTTCTCGCGCGGGACCTCCTCGAACTTCGCGAAGGCCTGCGGCGTGGCCGCGCGCATGGCGCACGCGGATGTCGCGACGCTGCGGACCCGCGCCTTCGGCGCTGTGATCTGCGCGGGGCGCCACTCGGCCGTGCGCGGGCGCCGCGTTCGGGCGCCCGTCGGCGCCCCGAAACTTCTTGGCTCCGCGCATGCAGCGCAGCCGCATGGCTGCAATGCCGCTGCAATCAGGAAGTCGCACGCGATCCTCGCCTCGCGGACCTGGGCAGACACCGCGCTCGGGCGCGAACGCCGACGAATCTGGAACATGCCCCCGACAACTTAGGACAGACAATGAAATCCGCCCAGTGTTTGTCACGGGAAACTCAGCGCGAAGCCAATTTTCGGGCCCGTCGGACAGGGCCCGAACACGTTTCTGCGAAGAAGGCCCCACGTAAGTGGGTCGCGCGCGTGCTGGCCAGCACAACTTTTGGGTCGTCTCGGCAGCAAGCCTGCTAGGTTGTCCGGAGGAAGTCCTTTGCGGCTCGTTCATGTTCGGGCCCATGCGCGGGTCGGGGTGGCCAAATCTTTTACTTGGCACAGAAGCCCGACTGCGGCCCAGAGGGCGGGGTCACGTTGCACTGGGCACCTGCGGCCAAACGGGGCGGGTCGCCGATCCTGCCCCCGCCTCCGCCGCCCCTCGCGCGGGCATCGCGTCCAGATGCCCATCGGCGACCCCGAAGTTCATTCAGTTTTGCGAGACCCGGCCCCGCGCGGATGCAGCGCAGCCGTCTGATTGCAGTGCCGCTGCAATCAAGAAGTCGCGCGCGAGCCTCGCGGGCCTGGACAGAAACGGCGCTCGGGCGCGAGCGCTGACAAATCTGGCGCGCGGTCAGGGTTGCCGATGGCAGACAAAGATATCGGCCGAACAGATATCAGCCACAGAAAACCCCCAGCCCGAAGTCGATTCTCGGGTCCGTCGGACAGGGCCCCGAAACATTCGCTGCCCCTGCCTCCGCCGCCCCTCCGCCCTCGCTCCCCGAGCGGCCCCCGCCGGCCATCCTCGATCTCGCGCTGGCCTGGATGGTGACGGGGTGCGCCGTGAGAAACTTGGGGAATCATTCGGATCGGCGAGGTAAAGATGCCACCTGGGACTTC